AAAAAAAAAGAGTTCTGCATCATGAACTTTGTACCGCGCACATCACTTAGATGGGCTCTAGAAAGTCGCGTAGTAGGGGGGTGAAGAAGAAGAAATCAAAATATGAAAGAAAATACAAAGAAATGAAAGTGTTAGATCAAATTGGTAGAGGGTTGGAATGTGTTTTGGTAGCTCAACTCTAGTTACTAGGTGTGCAGGTCGGGCGGGCTGAGTCAGGTTTTAGTTCAATCTAGATTCAACCCTAAGAATTGGGCCTAAAGCTCGAGCCCATCCCATACTAAAATTTGATGCACTCGGGTTGGTCAATTAGCCCATACTTAAAAATTAATATACATGTGTGAAAATGTATGCATATAGGTATAGTTTATTAAAAAATATGCATATATGCATGTATGCATGCAAATATGTGTCTACTTATGCACACATACAAGTATATAATTGAGTCAGGCTGGGTTTGGGCTCCTAAGGGCTAGGTCCAAGCCCAACCTGAAAAATTTAAAAGCCCAAACTTTTGGGCCCAGGCCCAGCCCAAGGACCGAAAATTTAAGAGCAGCCGCTGTTAATTGTGGGCTAGGTTGATTCAAATTGGGCTCACATAACGTGTGTAAAGTTCATATAGTTTGTAGTGATCAGAATGCACTGATAGTATGATACATGCATATTTTAAAAAGTTAAAAACTTTGGAATGATAGATCATATCCCTATAATTGTTAAAATAAAGTAAGAAAATAAAATAAAACATACAATATCGCTCGTAAACCTACTCATGTGTAGACCGATATTTTCAAATACAATAAAATAAAACATACATCAATATTTTAATCCTTGTTTATGTGTAGACCTGTTCATGGGTTGGGTCGAGCTTTGTCATTGTATTAACTAAATATATTTAGGTCTGAACCCGAGCCCCACCTGACCATCGGGCCTAGGTCTTGAGCCTGCTGGGCTTTGTCATTGTATTAACAAAATATACTTAGGCCCAGGCCCGAGCCTAAGCCTAGCTAGAAAATTGAAAAAAGTGTTCTTTTTTTCTTTTTTTGTTCAATAAAAACTCTTTTATTTATATTTAAAATCCTCAAAAGCTAAAAAATAATGAAATATCTCACTATTACTTGAAAAAGAGAAGAATAATACAAAAAATATTATATATATTATTATATAAAATATATTTTTATTATATAATACATTATCAAGTTGGGCTCAGACTTTTTGAGAAAGCCCGAGCCTGGCCCGATAAAAGGTTGGGCCCAGTGTTTTAGGCCCGAAAGCCTATAGGCTTGAAATCCTATCCAAACCTGGCTTAAATCGAGCCAGGTCGGGCTCCATTGGGCTACCTGGCCCATGAACAGGTCTATTCATGAGGTGTGCTTACTTATATATATATGGAAGTTGAAGCTTTTGAAATAAGAAATTATCTATTCTTTGCTTTGGAAGTCGAAGCTTTTACAATATGGAGGTTGATTTGTAATCAAGGTTTTTTTTTTTTCAATTTTTTATGAATAAAACTTTGGCTTAGGCCTTTAAAAGAAATCTACTGGAGTGAAATACTAACATATATTAGACGAAATATAAATAAATATATACATATAAATATTGCAGATATATTTAGGAAATTTCATCTTGTTCAGCCCAAATCAAAATCATGAAAACTTCACTCATTTTAGGCCCATCTCATGACCAAGACGAGCTTATATGGCCCGGTATTAGGTTAAACACAAGTTCTTGGATCCGCCAAATTTAAGGCCCACAAATAAAATTGTCCAATTCCCTTCACAATTGTGATTAGCACACACCCTTATATTGAAAATCATTCTGACTTGGAAGGCTTGGATGTAAAAGCCCATGGGCCATGGACGTATACCCATTACAGGTGGCCCAATTTCAATTGCGCAGAAAACAGCATGGCAAGAAGAGAATGCTATTCTTCACTTGTTCTTCCTCTGGTATTGCCTCTTTCCTCTTCTTCATTCCATGAATTTCCTGAGTCTACCCAATTCATTAGATGTCTGGAAAAATAATATAAAAATGAAAATATGGTTTACCCACCTCACAATTTTTTATTTATTTTATAAAACCCCATCTATGAGGGACTGGATCTGCTCCTCACATTGATCTCACAGACACATCCCACCGTGCATTAGTAACATCTTCCGTTAATAATAACACATTTGAAATGTTCTCAATGCACGGTGGGCCTGTGAGTTGCAAAAAAAAAAAGCACATTCTTGATCAACCGGTTTAACTGCTGATGTGACAAATAAATGAGTTAAGAATACAGAGAATTATACAATAATTTTAATTACAATTCAACCGGAAAAGGGTCTGGCTCCAGTTGAATCTGGTTCAACCGGTCTACTCTGTCCAATTGAATCTGGTTCAACTGGTTAGAACCTAGAACCTTGCAGCCCCTCCTTGTAGGCCATCTACCATATTTCCTGACAAAAAATATTGAGAAATTATTAATCCACTGTGTTAGTGTGCTGTGACCGAGAGAGATGGTTCAACTACTCCAAGGCCTCAACCGGCAAAAATGGAATTGTTTTCAACACCATACCGGCCCACAAATTAATTTCATTACTAAGCCCATTACGACTTCAATTAAAAAAAGCCACCTTTAAACCTTTTTCTATGAGACTATGACCATGGTGAGATCATACTCTTTTGATTCTCTGACGCTTGTTAAAGCAGGTAAAGCCCACAGCTAAAAAAAAGTTTAATCAAAAGCTGAAGCAAAGAAAAAAAAGAATTATCATTAAAGCATACTGCATGCCCAACGGGCCACTTTCGGTTCAACGTTGTATTTCACTTTCCTGAGTCATGATTCCATACATTCCTTCTCCATTCAAACGGCAGAACAAAATTAAACTCTAAAAATTGGAATTGGATTGGATGGCTAGGATTAAGTTGGGCTGAGAATTGGGCCTGGGTTGGCCCACAACTTACACCGTATTATTCAAGCCATGCCGATGATTGCACTGAATCAATTCCTCCCCAGTAGTTATTTACCGAAAAAAATTCCTCCCCGTCTTTTTGCTTTTGTCTTTTTTCTTGGGGATACACCGGCTCCGATAGGCGAAGGGCCATTATCAATATGTCGTTCGAGTCGACTGGATTCAAACCGGCATTCCCCGGAAAATCAACGCCCCTAGAACCTTAACCGGTCACCTCAATTGGATCTAAATAATAGAAGGCCACGTGTACGAAAAACCGCCACCAAGCAATCTCGGCCCACTCTCTCTTCCTTGATATCATCCGCGTATCGGAAAAATTTCTCCTACTCTTCACTCCGCAGGAGAGAAGACACGACGCCTCTCTGAACACGGGCCTGATTTCTCCCATCGCCGGTAAATGGTGGCCTCCGCCGGGAATCCGCTTCGGTCGTTGTTGGGATTCGGAGTCTGGGTACAGGGGTTCCGATGCTTCCCGTGGATGGGCGTGAATTTCTTCCTCAAAGACGGGCTCAATGTCGACCCCTCCACGCTTCAGCTGTTGCAGAACTCTGCCAACCTTCCGATGGTCGGAAAGCCTCTTTACGGAATCGTCTCCGACGCCATTTACATTGGAGGCCAGCACAGGATCCCTTACATCGTCATTGGAGGTAAGCTCCCTCATAACCGCCTTGTATTGAACTCCGAAAACCGCTTTTGGTTCGTTTTCAGTATCTGTTGAACAAGCAAACGATCTGGTTGGGAAGAGGCAGGGGTAGATACCGGAATATTTCATTTTCTTGAACGTAAATGACGAAAATGTCCATCGTTTGTTACTGTAATCGAATGCGAAGGAGGAGGGTAGGTTGGCGGAACTGCCCCAGGCGTGATTGCCTGTGACGTCGGTGATCGTCTGGTTTGTCGGAGGGATGCTTGGCTTGCTCGGTAAGACCGCGAAACAAGGCTTGCTGAGAGCGAGCATTCGTTCGAGGACAAAAATAGTCGCTTTCAGAGCTGTTGGAATTACATGTGTTAAATACTTATTTGGTCGATTTATAATGGTGATTAGGTGCTGTTTGGTCAGGCTGAGGCCATCATCAGGTTTGCTATGTCACTATGTGGCTCTCCACTGTGATGGGAACAGTCTTTAATAGTAGACCCAGTTATACTGAAGCTTCCTCGTACTTACTGTGGGGCCGTCATTTCTTCCATACTAGTATACTACACTTGGCTTTTGATAGCTCATAGGGTACCTGTCACACTGTGATTGGTGAATGGGTAGGGCTGCAATTGCAAAGAGAGACTGGCAGATAGCGAGCCTGAAAAATTGGGCTTTGGACACAATTGCATGTGGGTCTGTTATTGGTCTGGGCTTGTTTATATTTTATTTTCCGTGGGCGTGGAGTGTTAGTCAAGTATTATAGTAGAATCCCACAACAGCAAACTGTAACCGAGATTGACCTCACAGTTTTGGAAAAAAATAAAATAAAATTCAAAAGAAGAGAACCCACAGATGAACACTTAAAATAATGGTGTCACTAAATTGACCAAGATAAAGATAAGATTAGGTCTCAAGTTTCAGCTAAAACCAGCTAGAGACCTTAACAAGTAAGCTAGGTGGAAAATATTGTTAACTGCTTAATATTGTCCTTTCAACAATTCCATATATCTATATAATATAATATTTATAATATCATATTATCTAGAATTTATATTGTATAATATAACATATTTATATATAAAATAAAATATATGATATAAAAGACTGTATAAAATAATATAAATATTATGTTCAAGAATAATATACTTTATACATATCTTAAAATGCTATAAAAACATTATTTATTGATACATTATATAATATATCTATACTACTACTACATGTACGAATGAGCCTGTTGAACTTTTCCTTTTGACTAAAGTATCTCTATTTTTGAATTTGATCCCTCTATAATTGTTAGTGCACAAAATAATTTGAACTACTACTTTTAACCCCATTTAATTCCCTCTAACTCCGATTTTTCTCGTTAAGTTGTATATTTAAGGTAATTTTTTCTTATCAATAAATTCTACTAACTAGCTCTATGTCCAATCATCATCACCCATGCCTTATCCCAACTATATCTACCAAAGAAAAATTACGAATTATATCAGGTATATCTATGTCAAATACTTTTAACAATAGAAAACCTATGTTTCTAAAGCTGACCCAAAAATGAAACCTTCTTCTGTCCAAGTCCAAATGGGGGGTAAGCAATTCATCTAGGTCAAATAAAGTTAACCGATGATGTCATAGTAAATACTAAATTTTTAAATAGAAATAAATACAAAAAATAAATTATTGTAGAAAAATTTAGGCACATCTATATTATTTTAGATTAATCATATATTAAGGAGAAATAAGTTGATACAAGAATTTATTTTATTGATGATGGAAATGACATGCAAAATTTAAAATCAAGACAAAAATGAAATTGCTTTCTTGTTTTGTGGTGGGTTAGCAGTTCAACTTTGATGTCACAATTAAATAATAAAAAAAATTACAAAACAATACAAATTTTTTGTTGAAAAATTTAGGCACACCTTTAATATTAGATATTCATCATATTAAAGAAAAATTCAAAAAATAAAAAAGATTGTAGAAAAATTTGGGCACATCTCTAATATTTTATATTAATCATATTTAAGAAAATGTGTGTTGGGCAATGAAGAAACAACAAGTCTAGAAACGAGTTTGGCAGTAATGTGTGTATGCTAAGATGGATGAGTGGAAAAACTAGAAAGGATAGTATAAAAAATGAAGTCATTAGAAGAAACCTAGGATTAGCTCCCTTGAGTGATAAAATGAGAGAAAGTAAACTAAGATGGGTTGATCATAGTCATAAAAGTCTATCAACACCCATAAAAAGAAGTCATTTGTTACAAGTTGTAGGGGCTAGAAGGTCTAGGAGTAAACCAAAGGGCCATGGGAAGAAGTAATAAGAAATTATTTAAGTGCCAATAATTCAACAATATATATGGCAATAGACAAAATGGAATGGTGAAACAAATCTCATGTAGCCTATAGTTAAGATAAGGTTGGGATATTTGGTTCCATAGGTGTTTCAGCTGGTTTGGCACCTAACAGTCCTGTTTCTTCCAATAAATCAAGAACTTACTTCCTTTGACACAAATTAATACCATGCTTAGACCTTACTACTTCTATCCCCAAGAAGTATTTTAATTTACCAAGGTCCTTTGTTTGAAAGTACTCATGTAGGAAGGTCTTTAGCCTATCAATCCCCAATCTATCACCGCTGGTAATGACAATATCATCTACATATACCACCAGTAAGATCTTCCCAGCATGCGAATCATGATTAAATACTGAGTGATCAACCTGACACTGTTTCATGCTAAACTTCTTTATCACTTCACTAAATCTACCAAACCATACATGGGGAAACTATTTAAATCTGTAAATGACCTTCTTTAGTTTGCAAACCTTACCATCCTCCCCTTGAGCAACAAACCTCGGTGGTTGCTCCATATAGACCTCTTCAAGGAGATCACCATGTAAAAAGGCATTCTTGATGTCAAGCTAAAATAGAGGCCAATCATACATAGTAGATAGAGATATCACAACACAGACTGAACCAATTTTAGCACAGGAGAGGTCTCCGTGTAGTCAATACCATATGTTTGGGAATACCCTTTAGCAACCATGCTAGTTTTCAACCGCTCTATACTACCATTTGGTAAATACTTAACAATGTATAACCACTTACAACTGGCAACCTGCTTACCAAGAGGGAGCGTGGTGAGTTCCCACATATGATTATGAGCTAAGGCAGAGAGTTCTTCCATTGCATGGTGCCACCCTAGAGAAGCAAGGCCGCAAGGGATTCCTGGACATTCATAGGAACAGAAATAGAAGACAATAGAGAAATACACTGGCGATGGCAAGTAGAAAGGTGAGTGACAGAAACATAATTAGAAATGGGATGAAGTGTGCAACTGCATTTACCTTTCCACAAGGCGATAGGAAAATCAACGTCAAAAACTAGGGTTGTGGCTGGTGTTGGAACAACTGTTGGATTTATCGACGGTGACAAATCTAGAGGAGGAGCTGGTACATGTTGTCAATGCGTATACACTTGACGGATGGGTGGTCGTTCAACAGGAAGTTGCATTAGAGGCAAAGACTTAGTCACAACTAGAACAAGTGGAATGGGGTCCTCAGCGGGAACTGGAAGAGGAGGAGGTGAGGAAGAAGAAGGAACATCACCTGACCCTGAGAAAAATGGAGTAGACTTAAAGAAAGTAATATCTGCATACACAAAGGAACGTCGAGAACTAGGGTTATAACAGTTATACCCTTTCTAGGTCCGGGAATAGCCAAGGAAGATACACTTAGTGGATTGTGCATCCAATTTGTCCTTTCTTGGTTCAAGATTATGAACAAAGCATACACATCCGAAAATCGTAGGAGTAAGGGGGAACGGAGACAAGGTAGAAAATAAAGTGGTGAAAGGGGAATGACCTTCAAGGATGGGCGTGGGCATCCGGTTAATCAGGAAGCAAGATATAAACACAACATCACTCCAAAAATGTTTAGGTACATTCTTATGGTGCATAAGGGATTGAGCAGTTTCCAAAAGGTGTCAGTTCTTTCTCTTAACTATCCCATTTTATTATGGGGTATAGGTACATGAAGTTTGATGCATAATGCAATGTTGTTCCAAATACTCCTGAAACAGTGTATAAAAGTATTCTCGACCCGGAACGAAGAATCTTAATGTATACACCAAATTGGTTGTGAATTTCAGCATAAAAGTTTTGGAAAATGAAAAACAATTCACTCATTTCTTTCATTAGGTAAAGCTACATCATTCTTGAATAATCATCAACAAAAATAACAAAGTATTTGTAACCATTGTATGGCACTATTTTATTTGGACCCCAAACATTTGAATGAACTAAAGAAAAATGACTTGACATACAACCCTAGGGCTAAAGGGAACACAATGGTGTTTCCCCAACTGACATGGCTCACAATCCAAAACAAAAAGATGACTCAATGACGGAACAAGATGCTTCAATAATTTAAGCGATGGATGACCAAGTCGATAGTACCACTGAAGAGGAGAAAAGGGATGTCTGAAGAGCTATTGATGAGCTACCACCACCATCAAGATAATACAGTCCACCAGTTTCATCCCCTCCACCAATTTTTATCCCCATCTTGAGATCTTGAAAGACACAAGAAGTGTAAAAAGTGATAGAACAATTAAGGGACTTGGTCAACTTACTAACAAACATAAGATTAAAAGAAAATTTGGGAACATACAAAACTGAGGATAGGGATAAAGGGTCTATGTCAACATTACCAACACCACAAATGGAAGATGTTGAACCATTAGTAAGGGTAACAAAGTGTGATGTGGGGCACTGAGAAAGGGAGGAAAACACACCTAGAGTTCTAGGTTCTAGCCATGTGATCGGAGACTCCAAAGTCAATAATCCAGGGGTTGGGTTTGGATGCCAAACAAGCCATACCTAAGTGTGTAAGAGTGGCTGTATTCTGTTGAGATGTGGCCTTAATAAATCTCTCATACTCATCACGTGGAACACTCATCATCTCTTTCCTAGAAACATCTGTAGATATAGAAGCCATCTGATTAGCTTGTTGATTCTCCTGTTTGGGACCACTATCACTGGCCACTACATGATTTTCCCAAGTTGAAGGTGGGCCATGCAAATCATAACAAAGTTGATGGTATGTCCTTCCATACCACAGTGTGTACACTTCCTTAGACCATTACTACGTCCTCTACCACAAACTCCCCCTGAATCTTGACCTTCAATACGTCCACCACCACGGTTATACATAGGTCCACCACCACCACTACAACCATACACCGGTCCACTACCACCACTATGGCCGGATTGAACTCCCTAAGCTCTACCTCTAACACCACGGCCTCCCCCTCTCGTCACTACAAAGGCAGACCTGCCAGAGACATTAGAATTCTCTGTAGGCCTAATAGAGATCCTTCGAAGACGGGCAAATACCTCTTCTAGGGACGGAAGGGATGACCCTCCTAGTATTTGTGCTCTCATTGGTTCATATTCAGATTTCTACCCTACTAAAAATCTGGTCACTTCTAGTTGTTTTCTCTGTTGTTGCTGAATTTTAACATCAGAGGTGAGGGGATGGTACACGTTCAACTCATTACAAAGGTTCCTCATGCTAGCATAGTACTCCTCAAGACTTTGATTACTTTGTTGCAGATTAAAGTACTCCTGATAAAGCTGATTCACTCTAGTAGTGTTGTCTTATCTCGAATATAGCTTCTTGGCATGGTCCCAAATATCCTTGGCTTTATCTAGGAACATGAAATTCACATTAATGTTGGGCTCTATACTATTCCATAACCAGGTCATAATTTGTGCATCTTCTTGTTCCCAATCACTATACTTATGAGACTCAGTGGAGGGTTTTTCTTCCCTTACATGCTTCACTTTCTTCTTAGCTCTAAGAAAGACCTCTACAGATTTCGTCCAAGGCACATAATTCTCCCCATTCAACTTGATAGAAGTCATCTGAACATTCAAGTAGTCGGTGGGAACCATCACACTAGATTTTTTGTCACTGTTGTCTCCCATATCTGATTCTTTTTTATTTTTTACATTCACTTCTCACCACACTGCACACTAGTAAAGATAACCACCTACAATCACAATTTCAGCAACACCTGTCACTGATTTCTTCACTCTCCACACCACAAAGCTAGTAAAAACCACCTATAGTCACAATTTCAGCAACACCTGTCACTGATTTCTTCACTTTCCACACCACAAAGCTACCACACAACTACCTGAATACACACCATAACACTAGCAACTCACCAACCACTTGATCCCCACTGAAATGCCCACATAACCCACCTATTTAATCACCACAAACCAACCTGCACTCAACTGTCCACAGCACCACCTAAAACAGCCCTCTTCTCACCATCGATTAGGGGGGGTTTCCTACAAACCACTGCAAACACCCATCAACCTACTGACCAAAGGCATGAAAACCTCCAAGAGTAAAGGGCGATCATTCCTTTTCAGCCTCTTTCCCTATCTCCAACAGATAATGAAGAAAAATTGAAAAACCCTAGGCTGAATGATGATAAAAAGAGAATTCTAGGCAGATCTGATTTTGTCACAGTTGCTTTGATACCATGATAAAGTTCTGATCTGCACTAGGATTCTGTTAGTATCAGTATTAGAGAGATATCAGAAGGGATACTAGAGAGAAAAGGAGAAGAAGAAGAGAAGAGAAAAGAGAAGAAAAGGAAAAATCTGGTTTGAACTAGAGAGCTTGATCACTCTCTCTAGTCAGCCAGTTTATATTTATATGTTTCTATTCAAAAATCAAAAGACTATTATGTCCCTACTTAAGTATGGGACACGTCACTTAACATAGGACCCGCTTGGCAAGTCTTTTTGGGAAGATCTTCTGGTAGCTCTGACAGTCAAAAGACACATTGAGCTTTTGCATGAAGATCTGAGCAGCCCAAAGCTAGTTTGGCAGATGCATGTCTTTCCGGGCAAGAATAAAACGTGAAAAGCTTCATTTGAAGCTTCCTGAAATCAGCCCAAAATGGGCTTCTTGCTTCTTTTCGGCACTCTGCCTTTTGGTGGCTAGATCTTCTATGAACCAAATGGAAATAGACCGAAAATCAGTCTGCCCAGCTTGTAAACAGCCGAAAGACCGTGTGAAATGACGCACCAAACGGGCCCATGAACATTACACATCAGTTTTAAACATAAATAGAAAGACTAAAAATTATCCCTATCCCTATACAGTTGACACTAACATCAAAGAAAGTTAAGCATCATAAACAAGATTTTCTTTTATAAATGATGTTTAATGAAATGCAAAATTTAAAATCGATCTAAAAATGTAGTTGTTTTCCTGTTTGGTGGTGGGTCAACAGTTCAACCTTGATGTCATAATTAAATGATAAAAATTCCAAAAAAAAGATTAAAACACAAAAAATTATAAAAAGATACGAAACTTTTTGTAGAAACATTTGGGCATGTCTCTAATATATTCATCAAATTAAACAAAAATAAAATTGAGAAATAATAATTATTTTTATACGTAGACACATTATTACTATCATCATCTAAAATTGCCATTCATATTTTCCGGTGCATGTGTGTGTGTTGAAATGTCTGTGTTGCAGTTTTACCCTTTCCTAAAATATCTACTGAAAATCTTTTACAGTCTGGAATTTGGAGTGGCATACTACTATTATCTTTTACAGAATTGGCAACAAATCTCCGATTATGAATTTCTTCATGGCTACTTCATTAACTTTGCTAGTGCAGCTCTTGTGCAGGCAGTGTCTTGGTTAGCCATTGCTCTCTTACCCTCGTCAAGCATCTCAGTCTTCACAGTTACTCTCCTCCTCCTTCTCAGCAATCTTGGTGCAGCAATTGTTGAGGTTGCCAATGATGCCCTTGTTGCCGAGGCAGGAAAGCAACCGAAATCTACCAATAAGTCACGATCATCTTCATCTGGTGAGCTTCAGTCATTTGTTTGGACGGCAGCCTCTGTAGGTGGAATCCTTGGTAACCTCATAGGTGGCTTATCTATCGACCGGTTCTCTCCTCAAACTATGTTTCTTGGATTTGGTATTATCCTGATTATCCAGCTCCTCAGAACACTTGCAATCCGAGAAAGCTCACTGAACCTCCCCAAGAATTCATCCAATAATGGCATCCGTAAACAGCTCTCGGTCCTATTAGTTGCATTGCGTAAGCCAGAGATTGCATATGCAATTGCATGGTTTGCAGCATCTCATGCTGTTATCCCAGTCTTAACAGGCACAATGTTCTTCTACCAAATAGAGCATTTGAAGCTTGACTCATCAGTGCTGGGATTGTCGAAGGTGTTTGGACAAGTGGCAATGCTTCTATGGAGCATAATCTATAATCGACAATTGAAATCAGTCCGACCAAGAAAACTAATTTCAGCTGTTCAGGTCACCCTGGCTGTTTTCATGTTATCTGATGTGTTATTTGTGAAGGGATTTTACCGTGAGATGGGTGTGCCAGATTCATTATATGTAGTGATCTTCTCAGGATTGCTGGAAGTCCTTTTCATATTCAAGGTACTTCCATTCAGTGTCTTGATGGCACAACTCTGCCCACCAGGCTGTGAGGGGTCTCTGATGGCCTTTGTCATGTCTGCTATTGCACTTGCCTTCATTATTAGCGGGTATCTTGGTGTTGCACTTGTAACATATGTCGGCATCTCTGATCAGGACTTCTCAGCACTGCCAAAGGGCATTCTGATACAAACTGCATTTACATTGCTGCCACTATTTTGGAATTCATGGATCCCAGATGATGTCAAAGTTCAGAAGAAGAAAAACTAGCCTTGGGGACCATAAGAGCCAAGGTGCGTAAAGCAGTGTAAGGGCTTTTATCTTTTTTTTTTTTAATTTTTAAGTTTGTTATTTCAATACAAAAATCCATTTTTTTCACATTTATAAATAAATATAAGACATATTTCCTACAATACCCTCTAGAGAATACTCCTTGAGGACCAATGATCAGAGTAACTATTTCTGGTTCAATTGTGTACCTCCTAAGGCTGAGGGTGTAATCCTTTCCCACACTCTTTTCCTATTCTATTTATTTTGTAATTTCAGTTGGGCATTTTCACCAACTCCAGGATTAGGAGTCTGAATATTCTATAGAGAGGACTGGTAAATGAATACATGGGCTATTTTCTCATTACACATGACCAGCACGGATGTTGTAGTGATTAATCAAGCAATATAGTGGGAGTTATGTGCCATGTGGCTATGCATTCAGCGGTAGTTCTGTAGGTTTCCAAATTCCTAGTTCCTCTATTGGCAAAAGGAGCTTCTCATTGGCTACTATTTAGGGGCGTACTTTTTTCGGATTTTGAGAGGGGGGAAAGTTGGTCAATTTGGTTCCCATTGACTAAGAATCCCATGTTCTTTTTTCAGATTTATGTGGGGGCCAGTAAAAGTTTATTTTCTTGGGTATGATATCCATCTCCTAAGTGGGTAAATAACTTTTCCACTTAGGGAGAAAGTTGCCAACACTTGAATGGGACAAAAATGCCCTTTTTAATAATGAATTTTTATGGCTAAAATGGTCATTGCTTTATTTACATAAGAAATAAAAGAACATGGATAAATGTACTTACCTAGATAAGTGTTTCCCAGGAAAAGCTTACCCAGGTAACTGCAATTACCCGGATAAGTAATTTACCGAAAAGCGAACAAGACCTTAACCATAGAGCTTGCCCAGGACCCAGTAGTTGTTAGGTCGACAGACCTCACCTAAGAGATCAGATTCTGTCCTCACAAGACCGTGCTCACAAGGTACTCACAGACACTTGCAACCATGTATTGGGAATATCTCCATGCTTGAATGTTCTTATTCATGGGGAGATTCCAATGCACAGCTTCAAGTGGCTGTGAATATGGTGTGAACACAGTCTTGTGAGGACTGAACCCGAGTCCCTCACCTGCACCCTGCTCTGTCCCCACCCCTTAATCGGTTCATCCCCCTGTGAGCTTTACACAAGTAAAGAGAATATTTGGTTTCACATAAACAGTAATACAAAACATAGGAGTATATGGGGTCTTGAAAATTTTGATTTTTTTTTTTCCACAGGGAATTATCCACTCTTTCCGCTTCAATTTTAACTGTATGCACAGTTACACAATATGATCAGGCTATACCGCTTTAGCGTTTTTTTACTTTGTCTTGATATTTGTTAATCAAAAGGCCCAAATCAGAAGAAGAACAATGCTTGTTTTTGCAAAGTGAGCAACTGCTAGAGAGGCGATAATTATAGGAAAGGAATAATGATGGAGTAGCATCTGCTTTGAAGGTGATATTAAGCATTTAGGCTCATGATAGTATGTCTCCCCAGGAATCTTGCAGCCTCCACAGCAGATTAAATGGGAAATAATTTATACTTGGAGAATAGCAGATGCAGCAGATTCAACGTTCCAATAGAGACTAGATAATTGAAGAGGGATATCCAAAGTAATGCCCACAACCAGGTCAATAGATTGCAGTGCCTTCTGGAGGATTTCTGAGGCACCCACTAGGTCCCAGTTTCTGCGCCGCTTCATCTTCCTTCGTTCATAAAAATAAACTAACTAAAAAAAAGGTGATATCTACGTGTACAACTTGGACGGGTTGGGTCGGGTTGAAGTCAAACCAGATCCAACCCTAACAGTGGAAAACTCGGGCTTGGACCTGGCCCAATCCGAACCTATGCCCACTCCGAGTTTAACCCAACACAACTTGGGTTGGGCTTGGGATGGGCCAGGTCAAGTTCGTCAGGCTTGGGTGGATTGGGTGGGTTTGAAAATTTATATATGTATGTATTCATAATTATAATTAGAAAAAGAGATATTTTTATATAATATAGATATGTATATACCTTTTTTGGTGGGCCTGGGTTGGGTTGGGCTTGTATTACCTGAGACCTCAACTCAATCCTAAACCAAATTTAGGTTGAGCCCAAGTTTTTTGGCCCAGGCTATCGAGGCTGGCATGCCCAACATGCTGCCCAAAAACTCAGGCCCAATTCATGCAAAAACTTGGGTCAGGTCAGGTCGGAGTTTGGGTTGGACCCGGTCAAATTGTACCTCTAGTTATATCCTATTCACTTAGGGGACCTGATGGATTAGAAACAAAGTGGGCTAAGCAACCTATCAAGAGTGAACATGTTAGTGTTCCCTACGCATAAAGTGTGAGTCCCATATGGGCCCATGCATACAAAACGGCATTGATAGGAGATGTCGTTAGACTTCATTCGTAAAATCCTGTTCTTTGCCACCTGACATCAAACCTTGTCCATTCTCATTCTCTACCTCTCCAATTGTTGGCGAACAATTATCACCGGCGATTGTTAACATTGACAATTGGAGGAAAAAGCTCAGGTATTTGTTTTTTATTTTTTTTTTTCATATTTTCTTCCCCAAACATTGCATGATTTGCATCAGGTATTGCGTTTCCTTCCTTTTGTTGTCCCCAAAACCTAAACCTTAATTTCATCTTCTCTGTTTGGCGAATGGCAAATGGCGATTAGTGTGAGAACTAATGAATTTACTTTACCTTTGGAAGGAAGATGTACGTACCTGATTGTCGCCGGTGGCCGGTATCCGATGAAACAATTGTCGATTATGTTGAGACTATGAGTAGGATTGCATCCAAATTGGTTAGGGTTAGTGATGAGGGCGGATTTGGCCCTCCAATGACATTATGACACATGGCACCTCATGACAACTAGGTGCAGCCCGACACTTCCCAGGCAGCTTGCCACCAAGCAGCCCGACACTTCACAGGCAGCTCGCCACTAGGCAGCTTGCTACCAAGCAGCCCGGCACTTCACAGGCAGCTCACCATTAGGCAACTCGCCACCAAGCAGCCCGACACTTCACAGGAAACTCGCCATTAGGCAGCTCGCCACCAAGCAGCCCGACACTTCATAGGCAGCTTGCCACCAAGCAGCTCGGCACTTCACAAGCAGCTCACCTCCTAGTCAGACCGACCACCACATGGTAATTTCAAGGATCTCACCATCGTACCCCGCATCTTACGAGATCATGTCTTGTAACGGCTAGTATTATCTCACCCACTCCCCGAATCGGGTGGAAATGGGCAACCTTACTGGTTGGTGGCGTTATCCCCAACTAACATGGAAACATATCCTATCACAGCGGGGATCCAGGAACTACTCCACCAAACCCGCAAGGACTCTAGTATATAAAGACCTCACCCCCAGGGGCGAAGGTATGCGTAATCTCTACTCTCTAGCTCTCTCACAATCTATTATCATCTTCAAGCTCGCTACTAAGTGCTAACTTAACCATCGGAGTGACCTCACTGAGTAAGCCACCCTGGGTTCTCTGATTCATCTCTTGCAGGTTCATCTAGTCCGTCATTGCTGGTAGCTAGATCATCTTCTGCAGGGAGCAGCCGAATTGTGCTACATCATTTGGCGCCGACTGTGGGAAACTGCTACTAAAAGCCCTTGTATCCAATCAAAAATCTCAAGCTCAAAATCAAATCCATGGCTTCCTCTAGCAACGCCGGATAAAACAACGAAGTGAATGTCTCCGAGGGGCAACTTCAGTTCCCGTTTGTCCGCATAGGTCAGTTCACCATACCGCTTACTGCAGCTGGGATCCCAGCGCTGACGATGCGCCGACCTGGCGTGGCCTAGCGCGGGCGTCGACCTGGCAGCCTGGCCCAAGCGCGAACTGAAGAACTGGCAAAGACTTCGGTACCACATAAGACCCAATCGCCTCTTCGACATGGGCAAAATCAACGAGAGTGGACTATAAGTCGCTCCCAAAGCCTAAGGGCTAAAGTGCCGAACTGGCAAAGACTTCGGCACCTCATAAGACCCAGTCGCCTCTTCGGCATGGGCAAAATCCAGGAGTAGACCGCAAGTCGCTCCCAGAGCCTAAGGAATTGAATCAACACTTACGAGCTCATCGAATTTCGGGCCAAAAGGAGAAATCTACTCCCTTCGTCGAGTTACTTTTAGCTCGGGAGTGGGGGGGCAAATGATGAGGGCGGATTTGGCCCTCCAATGACATTATGACACATGGAACCTCATGACAACTAGGTGCAGCCCGGCACTTCCTATGCAGCTCGCCACCAAGCAGCCCGACACTTCACAGGCAGCTCGCCTCCTAGTCAGACCGACCACCGCATGGTAATTTCAAGGATCTCACCATCGTACCTCGCGTCTTACGGGATCATGCCTTGTAACAGTTAGTATACCCCCTCCCCAAATCGGGTGGAAATGAGCAACCTTACCGGTTGGTGGCATTATCCCCAACTAACACGGAAACAGATCCTATCATAGCGGGGATTCAAGAACTACTCCACCAAACCCACGAGGACTCCAGTATATAAAGACCTCACCCCCCAGGGGCGAAGGTATGCGTAATTTATGCTCTCTAGCTCTCTCACAATCTATTATCATCTTCAAGCTCGCTACTAAGTGCTAACTTAACTGTCGGAGTGACCTCGCCGGGTAAGCCACTCCAGGTTCTCTGATTCATCTCTTGTAGGTTCATCTAGCCTGTCATTGCTGTTAGCCAGATCATCTTCTGCAGGGAGCAGCTGGATTGCGCTACATCAGTTAGGTTTTTCAATACCTGATGCAATGTTTGGGGAATGAGAGTGAACAGAGTTTGGTGCGAGGTGGCAAAGAATAGGTTTCCGAATGGAGTCTAACGGTATCTCCTATCAACACCGTTTCCTTCGCCTCTCACACTTTAAGTGGGTATACGAAGTAAAAGACTTATTGTGCGCTCTCCTTTTGCACCAACAATGCACATATGCATCGTAAGCTGGACTCTTATAGGATAGAATTCGGCTCCAGTCAGGGAAAAACCTGTTTGAGCGGCCTTTACAGCCTTACATTGAGAATATCTCCTTGCTTATGTGCTTTATTTCATGGAGAGATATTCCCATTATAAAGTTGCAAAAGGCGGATGGAACGGTGTTGGCACAGGCTTGTCCTGACGAAAGCCGATCTCTATGGGTTGTCTAACCACTTTGTTTTTAGTCCATCTGGACTACTTACATAGAAATAACCTTCACCTCAGGTATTTTTGCACTTTACTTTACACACACAAAAAAAATAAAAAATAAAAAATAACAGTCCAATCTTTTGGTCTATTTACATTAGTTTTCCCTAGCTTCACAGATTTGTGCTTATCCCTTAAAA